CGCCATGATCCCCCTCTTTCCCTCACCGCAGCCCCCGAACGTGATTACATTTCCGACATGAGTGAGGGGTGAAGAGAGCGAGCAGTGGAATGAAGAAAAAGTGAGAGAGACAGATGATTGACTTGAAAAACAAAGAGAGGGTAGAAAACAGCTCTTGCATTGGATGGAAAGAAAAAGCCCAAAACAAATGCACAGACACACAAATACATACATTAGCATTTGCCCCCTGCACACAAAAACGCACACCTATATATACATACAGTATATATCATTTACTCGGCAGGGGACCAAGGCAAAGCGGAGGAAAAATACACGAAATGTCACTCAGACTGTCACCCTGATCTTTTCTGTTGAGATACATGGGCACGCACGCACGCACACGCACACAGTGCAATGGCCATCTCATTTCCTTAGACGAGTGACATTTTCTCTCTCTCTCTTTGCGTCTCTCCTTCTGCACTCCGTCGCTGTGGTGATAAAATTAGCATTCCTTTCCCTCCTCTGCTTCTCCCTCCCTCGACGGCTGGACAAGAGGTGAGGACCACAGGGACGAAGAAAAGGAGAGAGAGAACGAGAAACAAGAAAGAAAGATGGGAACAAAAGAACACATTAAGAGAAAGAGGAAGAAGCCTAAGATAGACATGGAAACAAAGAAACAAACAGAGAGCAGAGTGTGACGGGCAGAGAAAGGAGGGATAGGAAGACAAAGACAGAAAGATGCAATGAGAGAGAGAGCCAGAGAGAAAAAGAAAAATACAGCAAGTGGACAGGATGCAGACTTGTGGAGAGAATGAGGGGGGAAATATGCCCTCAAGGGATTCTTATCACCATGACAACCCTCTCCTGTCTCCTTTGCTGTCCAGATGCATGATGAACTCCTGCTACTTTAGTGGACCTAAGCGTGGTCCAAATATCCACTTACTAACGCAGGCCGATGATCAATCTGTGGTTAAGTAATTGGTGGTAACAAGCTCCAACATACTTTTAATAACTGATTTCAAACTAGATGGGTGTTTGAATGTGCAAACTTTACTTTCATTAACAGCTGGACAATCATAGTTGAGCTTACTTTATTTACACTGCGGAAGTCTGCTCCACGTCCGTGCATGTGGGCGGGTGCATAAACCTGCATGTTTCTACAGGGACAGGGTAGAGGGCCCACAGAGTATAATTAAAAGCCAGAGACACAGAGTCCTTGGGAGCGACTGCAGCAAGAACTTTATGGGGAGAAGGGAGAAAAAAAGGAGAACTGACCTTTAAAAACAGAGTGAGACAGAGAGAAAGGGTGAGAGATGAGAGAGGTGTAATGGAAGATGGGGTAGTGGGAGATAGACTGAATTAGATTATGCTCAATTGAATGCGGCAAAGAAAGAACAAAAAAAAGTGAGAGAATGAGTGGGGAAGGAAACATTATTGGACTGAGCTGTTTGTGGGGGAGGGCCAGAGAAAGAACAGAGAGACAAAGAGAGGGATGAAGACAGAGAGAAAGAGAGGGAATGAGAGAATCCTAATCAGAAATCTGAAGAACAAAATAATAAGGCTGCCTGACAGCAAATGTCAGCTCAGGAAGGGTAGCAGATGGAGGGAGAGAGACACACACACTCAGGAAGAAGGGAGGAGGGAGGAGAGGAAAAGAGGAGAAAAGAAACATCCAGAAGGAGACAGGTGGGGTTGGAGTGATGGAGACACCATCACTGTTCCCTCCAGGAGGAAGGAATACAATCTTTCGGATGCTAAGAAGCAACACATCACCAAGGAAAGATATTCCCCATCTCCCACTGGAGGGAAACAGAGCCGCCAGGTCAGGAGGGTGAATCCTCATATGATGGCGTATACGTGTGTGTGTAAATGTGTGTGCTTGTACACTAACACATTCACTGCCTGGCTGGGAAATGTTGCCCTTGAGCCAACCTTGACTGCTGTTCCACTCAAGCTAAGCTTCGCTGTAATTCCCGAATCAAAAGCCATCTCTTTCTCTCTGCCATGTTGCTTCATCACGACATGATGGTGAGACAGGATCCTGACTGTCTCTCACGATTCTCCTGTAGCTTTCTCTTTAGCTGTTCAGCAATAGTAGACGCAGAGATGCTAGAGATGACACAGGGGAGTAGACCCATGGGTGTAACTAATATCTAATGGAAACATTGTCCTAAATTGTTATCATCATACAAAGGTTGATAAATTAGACAACAAATTTGAAAAGAACACTAATTAGATATATAGAGTCTTTATATACCTAAGGACAAAACTAATTATTTCCAGGAGTCCAAATCCAATAATATTTTAGAGAATTTATAAACAAGGTTTCAAGAGCCAGAATACTAATGATGGAGAAAAACTGAAATGTAATATGCTTGTTTCTAAGCTACAGTTCTATAAATATATGATTAAAGTGACTGAACTTTGGCCACAGTCTTTAAAATTTAAACACTCATCAGTGTCAAAAAGCCAGGCAAAAGTCAGCATTGAATTAGATAATATATGCATTATGTTAAAGCGAACATGAGCGATGTGAATCTTAAAAGGAAATCAAACTTTAATGAGTTAAACGATGCTTTTAAGTTAACCTAAGGTCAATGGGGTAAATTCAGGGTTGTTCAAAACCAGAAATAACAGATAGCACTACAGTTTTGCACTACTTGAAGTTTTAGTTTTTAGCTGGCTCATTGGTCAAAGATGTGTTGTGTCTGTTATAATTCTCATAAAGCAGAACTGGCTGTGAATTATCAATTGCTATGCCAACTCTTGCAATACGGCTTTTAAATGTATTTAAATAATTTTTGTTTCGTATGTGCTTCTCATCTTTAGCTCATTGCCTGGTTGGTGTGTTCTGTGCAATGTGTCTATTTGGGGTTGATCAAAGAAGTTTTCTTAAAGAAACCTCAGTCTGTTTCATTTGGATATTTCAGCAGACTCTGCCTTTTTTCTGTTCAGAATGAGGTAAATCTTACCATCAATGTGACTGTGTCGTTTTTAGACAGGTAGATAAAAGCTATTTGGGTAAGAGTCAAGTGCAAATGACCAACAGGTGGCAGAAAATAAACACTAGTCAGACTCTCAGTTTTAAGCATATCATATCAATATTGAAATAGAGAGATGTCGTGGATCATTTACTGGTTGTCAGTTATCATTAGCAATTACTTTCCAGTAATTTGTCACTATTTAGAGGAGGTGGGAAACATATGTAGCTGCCACAAATAAACTTGAATGTCAGGTTGATATTTAATTGCTATCTTTTACAGTTCTGAGAACCTTAAGAGCAGGTTCTACTATAGCCAGCAGCATCTTAGAGCCAATTTTATAACCATCAACCCCACAATTACATCTCAGGTATAAATTCTAAAATCACTTTTTAATTCAGGAGCAGAAAAGTGACATTAATATATATTAACATATGTCTGAAAGCAAGCCTTTTTAAAAAATAAATAAATAAATAAATAAATGTTGGGTCAAGTTGCAGGTGGACACATTACTGTAACTAGTATGTACATATAGTACATCTGCTATTTTAAACATTATCGTTCACACTTACAATTTATATGATATATTTAAATGACGTCCAAGTGTAATTGCACCTCATTACATCACCATTGGAAACTGAAATGTCTGAAGAACCATAGCACTAATATTTTCCTTTGTAACTGTAGTGACATATTATACCTGAAAACTGTAATAAGAGGAACACCTAGATATCTTGATCCAAATATAATAATTGTAGAGGACATCTGGATTATACTTTAAGGATTAAATGTGTATGGGTATTGCGGATTTCAGCTAGGGATGGAAATCTTGACAATTATCTAAACTTCCCCTGGGATAATAGCAGGCATTCATCTCTGAGCTATATCTCTATAAGAAGGTCGAAAGAGATAGAGGTTATCAACTACGTAAAATAGCTGTCCCTGCATTTCCACATAAACCACAGTTTCACCATCACACCTCAACCGTCCTCCTCAGTAAGGACATCTTCCCAATCACTTGTTCTCTCATTCTCTCCCTCCCCTCATCTCTCTCTCTCGCTACACCCAGTGAGTAATGGCGGGAGCAAAGGATAGTGGCAGAGAGCTATAAAAGTGTAATTTGCTCCATTTTCCTTGGGAAACCAAATTCACTTTCTGTCCCGTGTTACAATCTGTTAACATTCAGATGGCCAGCATTGCAGACAGCGCATTACCCGCCTACACTCGCTACTAATGACCCTCACACAGAGTGCACACATACACACGCTCGCAAGCAAGCAGAGCAAGGACACACAAGATGTAAGTGTATAAAAAAGTACAAAGTGTATTTGTGTACACTTGGATGTGCACAAAAAGACAACACACAAAGACTCAAATTCTTGTTATAATGGACTCAACAAGGGCAAAAAGGGAAAGAATAAGGGAAAGAGAGAGATTATTAAGAGGAAAGGTAGATGGGATGAAACTCTGTAGAGAGGCTAAGTATGTTTCTCTGAATTAAATCAAATTATTTGTCCATTCTCACTTTTTGCTATTTCCTCTAATCTGTCTCTCCTCCTCTAATTATCTCAAAGTTTTGTTCCTGTTCTTTCTCTAGCCTTTCCTTCCCTTCTTTCTCTTCTTCGGTGAAAATCTCCCAAAGACTTGTTCTCTTACTCCATCTCTTTGTCTCCCTGTTCACTTCCTCCATGCCGTCTCTCTCTTGTCTCCCCTCCCTCCCTTGTTCACAAATTCTCTCTCACACTCTCATCTCATCATCCCACCCTCACAGCAATCCTTTCTCTCTTTCTCCCTCTCCTCCATTTCCACCACTCCTCTCTCAGGGAGCTAATAGCCTCCTCCTTTGTTCTTGGAGAACAGCGGGGAACAATGGCGGAGTGGGGCTTGTCGTTGTGGCAACAGGCATGAGACAAGAGAGAGGGAGGGAGGGAGACAAAGAAGAAAGGCAGAGAGAGAAAGAGCAAGCACAGAGGGGATGCTGGTTGTTAGCCGGGCGGCAGGGAAGCGAGCGCTGGCTAATTACACTCGTTTCTATGCACACCGCAATTAAACCCTGATGCACACACTTACGCCGCCCGCGCTCAGAATATCCACCGCCAGCCACACACACACACACACACACACAAAGATGGAAACAATTAGAGTGACAATCGCACAAGCCATCGCTGCAGCACACACAAGGTTCTCCTTAGCAAGCGCTGTACATACAAACACACACTGTACTCTGTTTGAAAGTCACAAACAAACACACCCTGACATTTAAACACTGTAGGATTTTTGCCTTTCAGGCGTTGCTAAAAGGGTGGCAGTGTTGGTTGGTCTCTTTATGTGTTTCGTTATATGTCTAAAGTACTGACCACATTACTGTTGAATATGCTCACGATCACCAGAAGATTGTTCTAGTCACGAGCTGAAATCATTGTCCCTGTCAGGTCAAACTTTAAGAATCTAAGAGGCAGATTGCCATTAAATTACAAGTACATTCATGGTCCCCAGACGACTAACCACACATGTATTAAAGAGGAGCTCCACTGATTTTACACATCAAAGACTGTTTTTAGATCTTGGGGAGTACTACTGCATGTGTGAAAAAAGGTTCCAGAGGGAGCTGCACAAAATCTGATAAATTGGTTGGTTGGGGCTGAAGTCTAAAAGTAAAAAAATAAATAAAAAATCTGGTGCTTAGGAGTTGGAGAGAACTGAACTTGCAGGACCTCTGTAGTCCACTCCTCAGCTCTGCTTGAGGCTAGCAGCTTGAGGGTACATCAGCCGCAACTAGCAGAACATACCAAAATCTTAGACTGATCTGTTGGCGCCAATGGCGGACTCCAGCTGTTTGAGGGGCAGGGGCAAACAAAAAACAAAAAAGGGGCAGCAGTGCAGAAATTTATGATGCATTTATTGTGAAACCGCTTAGTCAGGGTTAGGATTA